AATAAACTGAATCTGAAATGTGTTGCTTGTATTTATTTATCGGTTTATTTGAATTCAGGCTCATCACAACCTGTACACAACACAACGCGGATCAATAACGGACCTTTACGTATGAATACTACTATATTGCAAAGACAATTGTGACACATCTCAAATGAAATATAAACCATAAATGTCTTGGATTATGAATTCAATTACTGTGCCTATATATTCTCAGCTCCTCAACTGATCCAATTTATCTCAAAAGGCCTCGCTTTAATTTGACCATTTCTTATTGCAGGTATAATCCACTCCTCTGCAGCAGCTACTTACAATGGTGATCCATCAGCCGAGTGGTGTCGTCTCTTAAAGACCCTCCACTGTACAGCAGCGAGGGGATATAGGTCCTAACCGCGCGTCTTTGGTGCCAACTGTGCCAATTTAACCGCGCGTCAGAATGTGTGGAAACAGAGGCTCTTGGATGCCATTACGCACACAATACGCGCATCCATCACGCTATGTAATTACTGCAGCGCGCTAATGGAAGGCTAATATAGGCGGAATGTAATGTAGATAAATAGCGGGTTGGGTATTTAAGCGTGGATTTGCATAAGGTGTCATTTATCTAACGCGATGCACAAGAAGACGTGTAAAATAAAATCCTATGAAAAACACTTAAACGTGAACAAGTTCGCAGTACTCACAGATGGAGGAGAGGAGTCCAGTGAGACGTGCAGAGTCCGGGGATGGGGGCCGGAATGATTCAAATATAGTCAGATTTTCAAACACTATTTCTGATTTCACGTCAATTATTCATTAGGGTGTGATTGAAGCGTGGGGATTTAAAGTGCGCAGATTGGCTGTGACCTCTGGGCCCCGACTCGTGTGTAATTTTGAACAAACGCGCGCCATCTTCTGCCCAGTGAAGGAACAGCAAATGGACCGCATCCAAATATTGAAAGGTTCTTCCTATGAGCTGAGGTGTCCCCTTTCTTTCCTCGTTCATTTACATCGCTGCTTTTAATGGGAAATTGAAGTGAAGTGAATTTTAAGATATCAAAAGGCTTTTTAACGCTTATTAGATCAAATGTGTCCCTATCACGGAGAGGGAAGGAGGCATGAGGATGAAGAATTTTGTTTTGTGTTTGTTTTTGTTTTGTTTCTTTGGATGCACCCTTGCTTTAGCCCCAAGAAAACGAGTTGTCAAAAATACATACGTTTTAACTATAGCAAAACAGTTAAAATTGTGCTGAACATGCGATTGAAATGTAAATGATTTATACAACAATTTAGTTGAAGGAAATGTATGAAACCTGTGTTGAGTGTTGTATTTTATGTGTGCATGGTCTGTACATGCATTTATTCACTCCGATTTCTGGCAACTTTTAAATGGTTGAAGGAGCAATAAAATAAGATAATGCTGATATAGAATGTGTTATTTATTCACATTTTTACAAAGTATCATGCTCATGTCAAGCTTGTATATATACATAAAAATACTAATAACTTACATTTTGTTATTTTGAATGTGTATTATTTTAATTTATGCTTTTGATTGTGTAAAATATATACAACACAAACATCGCCAATCTTAGGCCGGTGTGTGAAATGTAGAGTGATACAGGCCATTAGTATTATAGTATTGTATTTGTTCAACTAATACGTGTTTTTAAAATGTCTCAATATCTTGGTAAAACTAAACACATTACGAAAGCCTTGTCATTGAACAATAAACATTATTTATGTGAGAGAGGCCAGCGACACCTGACCTGGGACTATATCTGCAAATAGTAGTAGTTTGTTTGAGCAGTTTTTGAATGTATTTTTTACAGGTACATATAATTTCAAGAAGCAAATCTACAATAGAGCTGTGTATTTGTCTATGAATATATGTATTTCAAGAGACACTTATGCTCAAGCCACTTAACTGTTATACTGGGTCACTTTATAGTTAAAATAGTGGCTGAAGTCTAAAAAGGGCGTATGTGCATGTCGTTTTTCACTGTTATAAAGTTATTTGCATTTGTAACCTCATGGTTTCAAGACTGCACGAATAGATTTGTCTTCAACTTTTACTAAATGTCTCGCTATAAGTTGCAATCACAAATATTATGTGGAACAAACTCAAAAACACATAACACTGAGCAGGTTTATAAGTCAATACAATATAAAATAGTGGGAACGTAGTAGTAAAAAAAAGAGGACAAACCATGTATAAACGCATCATTTATCAGTTCTTTGCCCAAAACAGTAGCCAGTGTGATGACAATAGGATCCTTTGCTGTTTCCCGCATTAAAGCCGGTGGGAAACTCTCTTAATGACCAAACTGCGAGGTGGGGAAAGCCTCTTCTTTCTTTTTTCTTTTTTCCTTTTATGAATTCATTGTCATCCAGACGATTAGAAGCTTTCACTGAGCAGCCTGGCGCATGCTCGGGCTCATATCTCGCCTCTGTCCTCACGCCGCTTTGATGGATCGCGCTGGGGCCTATGCACCTCGAATCATTTCATCCCAAATTCATCAAAATCACAGCCCCAAAACGCGCACTTTTTGTTTTCGCATACATCTCAAGCAGCCGGAGCAGAAGAGAAAAGTTTGCCCTTACGTCCCGCGCTGATATATGGCCCCCGACATAGTGAGTGTCGAAAGGTCCCGGGGTCAGGCGCAGTGCCGAGGCGCGCTGATTGGCCCTGGTCCGTGCGTGTCCTCGCTGTGAACTCTATTGTTTGGATGTAGCAGGTAGTGGCCAAGGCTCGCACTCATGTTCCACTAGCCCTGAGACAATGCATGTGTGGCCGAGAAACGAATACGCACACACTATACGCCGAAAAGACAAGCAAATGTAAAGTGCTATAAAGTGCCATATGGGTAAAGGGTGTCTTTGTAATTTAGTTAAAGTATCGGGAGACTACAGTTTAGCGCTTGACATGAAGGGGAATATACATTTATAAGGCAAAACGTGTTTGTAATGGGTTGAAACGAGGACTTTGATTCAATTCAATTGTGTTGTTTTGGACCAGTTTAGTTCATTTTAGTCAATCAACGTATATGCTATTTGACGTGTTCCAAGATGTCTTAGACCATTTAAACAAGTAGTTGAATATGTATACCATAAGAAAGGGGTCATTTGTCAATTTGTATAAGATCTAACGTCCTATGGCTCACTATAAGCAAATGGTTTCTCAAATGTCTTAAAAACGCGTTGAGTTTTAAGGTCACATAAGCAATGCAATCTATACTGTTTCCAAATTTCTAAATCCAGCTGTTTGAAGACTAACAGATGTCGTGTTTTTGTATCAGTTTATACAAAATGAACCACTGGCTCTCATGCGTGGCTTTTTACGCACAGTACCTGTCTACACATGTTTTTGTCGTTATAAGCCATATATAAGCCATTCGAATCCTCCTATCAACACACACACACACGCACACACACACACACACACAAACACACACTCACACACATAGACACACCCACACAACCATTTAATTTTCCATGTTGCTCTCATATATAACCACAGCGCGTGCAGCCATCCGCCATCACAAAAGACCAATACATTTCCATGTTACGCACGACGCCTCTCCCAAACCAAAGCGTTCCCGATTCTGAAAAGCCTGCACTATGAAAATGTTTGTCAGCACAAATGAAATCAAATGAAGTCGAGCCAGAAATGCAGCATCGCAGTTTTTTATATTCCCCAGAGAATCCGGAGGGGAAAACTACAAAGTGACATGCGCGCACCGATATGGATTGATTTACGCACGAGAGAATAAAGGAGAGAGAGAAAGAAACCCAGCATTTTTATAAGTGAAGAACATTTATTTCACAAAGACAGATCAAAATAGAGGTCACAACAGCGCTACAGACGACACAGACATGTATTCACAGTACGAGCACGACTTCGGGGGGACGTGTATTACAAAAAGCGATTCTACACAATTAACGAACAACGAACAGCGAGCAGCGACTACACACAACGCGTGTCCATATTGTGCCTTCATTAGGATTCGTATTTACAGTCAAATGTCACCTGGACTATACATTCAAAAACAACTACGACTGTTACTCTCGACCCGACGCCTCTATATACGCGGATAAACAAAAAAAGAAAAATGCGTGGTTCTATAGGCGCCCAGTCTGTCTAAATATCTTTCAAGTATTTTTATTAGAGCTTTCCATGAGAGAGAAAAAACAAAACAAAACAAAAAAAATAAAGAAATTAAAAGAAATACCTGACTCCGGTTTAATGATATAGCTTTCATAGGGTGATCACCTTCTAATGTTGAATATAATATGTATATGACAGCGAATGTACAGTATATGTCCACCAAATATAAAGTATATATATCAAAGGACTTGGAATGTACATGTGTGTTTTGTGATATTTTGGATTCGTAAAGGAAGATGAAATGTTACATTTTCGTGCAGACACATAAATGCACAGCAAAACGTCCATACACAGTAGAGTTAAGTGCCTCAGAACATACTAATACAAATTATACCACAGCTTGCTTTACTCGTATAGAATCAGTAGAAAGTAATACATTTTTAACTTGAGACATTCGTTTGATATGAAACTGAACTCGCTGTTTTGCAAATTTCAAGACAGCCGAGAGATGAAAAAAACGCTATTGACATGGCGTTCATTTTTGCAGTGTTATGATTAGGCCTCAAGAAACGTGAAATTTGGCTGTATACTGGGATAAACAAAAAAGTATAACAAAGCAGTGATAACCAAATATATGAACAGGTGATCACCCTATACTCACGGTATAATGTGCGTAAAAACATCCTTCTGTCATAACCATAGAAACGCTTCACTTGCCATTGGGTGTGGGGGCAGTAAAAGTCAAATTCAAGCTTATTACGGAGAGAGCAGAGGGGAATTTTCTTATTTTTTCTGAAGTACAACACCACCATTTCACCAACCAACCAACCACCTTTTTTAGACAGCAGTGCGTAAAATACTGGTCCATAACATCGTATACAAGTCTCTCTCCACCACCCTACTACACGCACTACTATAGCCCGGGCGTGGATACTACGAGCTGCGGCTGGGGGGGTCCCGGCTTGACCTGGGGCGAAGCGGAGGAAGCAGAAGAGGAGCTCCGGATCTTGGTGTTGGGCAACTTGTGCTCCTTCTTCCACTTCATCCTGCGGTTTTGGAACCAGATCTTGACCTGGCGCTCAGAGAGGCACATTGTGTGGGCGATCTCCACGCGCCTGCGCCGTGTCAGGTAGCGGTTGAAGTGGAATTCCTTCTCCAGCTCCAGAGCCTGTTGGCGGGTGTAGGCGGTGCGCGATCGCTTGGGCACCCCTCCGTTGTAGCTGGCGCTGACTGTATGTGTGCAAAAACAAGGAGAGGAAAGCAAGAGGTTAGGAGCAAGGTCGGTGGATGGAGTTGAAAAAAAGAAAACGATTCGAGTAACTGTGGGAGATCAAACGGCAAAATCGATGTTCGAATTGGGATCGTTGAATCTATAAGAGAGCCAAGAATTGTGCGTTATTCGATAAGAGAATGTCCACAAGCCTACATTGTGACAGGTATAGATTCCAGATGTATCTACATTTTTCTACCCTATTTGTCCTTATACTTGTGCACAGAACATTCCAATTCTAAACTCAAGCAGCAAAAATTAGAATAAAAATATATGCCATTTCGATTATATTTGACCGAGAATTGAGCCTAAATGTTTTGATATTCAAATACGTGTTTACGCGTTGTGCTTTGGATGTCGCTGTGATTCAAAAATAGAGACGGTAATTGTTAATAATAGTTCAATGTTTTTGATAGGGCTCGTGTTACAAAGCTAAGAGGTTGTGGTGTCAAGTGCGTGTGCTTAAGTGACGCCGTTTGCCCCGCACGTGCACGAGCATCAGTTCACATCATGCGTTGATTCTCACAACAACAAAAAAGCTGTAAGGATTGTATGACATTTCAGTTTAGTTTCATTGCCCAAAATAATGAAACTTAAAATATCACTATATTTTGTCTAAATGTGAAATTGTGAAATTGTATAAACAAATTGTAATAACATGAAGAAGTCCTCTAAAATATGGATTCCAATGATAGTTGTGTAGCGAGCCAGAAATCGCAAATAATCGGCATGTGGTCGAAATGAAACGCTGGCATACAACTTATCATTAGTGCGGTTAATCGTTGTGTATCTGATCACATTATTCATAAAAAGTAGAAAAATACCTACAGCATAATAAGCAAAATAATCGAATTTAGTTGTAATACCGAAAACTGAAAGAAAAGGAGCAATCTATAAGGATGATGACGAAGTTTTATAACAATAGTATGATAAAATACTAGTTCTAATAAAAGTCTAGGTGTATTTCTGCCATATTCAAATGATGAAATGGTGATAATAGTGGTTCTGACCGCTGATGTGACTGCATGCCGGGAAAAGGGCTCCAGTTACAACAGGACAGGGCTGTTAGTGTCAGTGCGTGAGTGTGTGTGTACATAAGGGACAAGACACGCTGTTTGTCTCCCGTATCGCTGCCCTCTACCCCCGGTCAAACCCTGGCTTATCACGCACCGTATACGGATGTCCACAGTTATTTAATCGATTCACGCCTTAACATCGATCATAAGAAGCGAAAAATGACGTTACATTACAATACTGTGTTAATAGTGAACGCGTAATCTATAAAAACGATGCAATATTATACTAATTTGAACTAACACAGCTGGATACAGTATGAAATATAGTATAAATCTGGTTAATTATTATCTTGCAATGCTGGTATAATGTACTATTGTGACGAGGGGACATGCACGTGTGGATTCGTACTTCGCTTTTTATTTGTGCAAATGTCAAAACATGACGGTATACTGGGCTATATACTTGTAGCACTGCATTCCTCATGTAACCTGTACACAATGGCTGCACGAGACCGTAGCTGTATTATTACCACGCCACTGCAGGGATAATTAACCAAATAAAAACAGCAGGCTTGCATATTACGGAGACATACATTTGGCTTAGATCCAGTTATGTTTGAGAGGAAAGCATCCCTCGCAGTATAAGCCTGTCTCCCCTCCAGTCCGGACGCGCGCACACGGGCTATAAAATGTACGAGGGTCCTTAATTACCGACCCCGCCGCTGCTATTGCTCCTGCTATAGTCGTAAATCCCGGCAGTAAAAAGGGGGGCTTGTACAAACAGAACAGGCATCAACACACGCGTCTCACTCACCGTTGCTTACGTGGACTTTCTTCATCCACGGATACACCACCGGCTCCTTGCCCTTGCCTGCGTATACATCCCCGGCCAGGCTGCAGTCTTTGGGGGCGGCCGTGGTGCCAGAGACGTCCTGAGGCGCGTGTTGGCTCTGCTGTGAGAGCGGGGTTGGCTGCTGCTGCTGTTGGGATGGCTGGTGGGGAAGGTGGTGGTGGTGGTGGAGTTGCTCGCTGCTAAAATCATCCAGAGGCACCGCAGCAGACGCAGCGGCGCTCGTGTAGTCGTACGCCGGCTCGCTGTAGCTGGACCTGGGGTAGGAAGGCTCGTCGTGATGGGGGAAGCCCGTCTCCTTGGCTCGCTCGTAGTAGTCGCCCGGGTTGGGGATGCTGTAGCCGCTCTGCTGGTGCTGGTACTCGTCGCATGGTGGGAACGACGGCTCGATGTAGTTGGAGTTTATCAAGTAGGAACTCATGGTCATTAATTTGTGAAGTGCAACAATACTAATTTTTATCGCGCTGTCGTTTTTACTGATCTCTACAAAACCCTCCTACTCCCCCGTCTGTCAAATGTACAAAGTTGCCTGGTCACGTGCACGCGGCCCGCCAATCGCGTCACGTCGCGCGTCGCATCGCGTAAACAGGAGCCAATAAGCAAGCGCGGCACGGGCTCCTCTCTCGCGCTTACGTTGTGTTTTGTGCTTATTAAATCGCGGTATATAAAGCAACAAGGGGGGAAAACGCAAATCAGGCACAGTTGTTTTTATACAGACAAACTTTATGTTATGTGCGCGGGATTGGAGACAAATACAAGGCAAAACACGCAGTGGTTACACAGGCTATAAGAGAGAATGCGTGGCAGACAAAAGGGCGCTCCCGCTGGATGTTGACAAATACATAAGGTCATGTGTTGCGTCAAATATGAGAGATGGAGCCGCGGCGAGCTCTTGCGTCCATTCAAAACTCCGCTTTTCCGTCGCGATGTGAAAATGGGATGATATAGGAGAAATATGCGCGTGGAAGAGGCGCGCGTAAAAAGGACAAGGGGAACACAAGACTGATGCACGCAGAGATGACAGCCGCGTGTGAACAAGTCTATCTTCATCCCAGTCCGCTTTTCTTCGTGTTTTGGAGCAGTTCTTTTCCTTCAATTTCTGTCTATATATATGTATACTGCAGTATTGATAAGATTCACATTCTGCAGGTCAACGCAAGCAGCCAAGGAACTCTCATTGCTTTATGTTTTAGTGTGAAATTGTACCAAAGAACGTTTATGAAATATGCAGGAGCAGTGTGTGAAGAATATATTGTGAACCACTGGTGAATATTGATCAATGTCTGATCCAGTTGGATAGAAATTCATTAACTTACAACAAAAATCAAACTCAGTGAAAAAAGCTATTGAGAAAATCACTATGCAAAAAGTAAAATATTGTGGTTTTTCTAAACTAAATGTTGGCCTTTTTTGAGAGTCCATCTAAAGCACCCATTCCATCTTTCTCAGCGTGAAGCAGTGAAAGCAACTCGTGAACCAGCCTTTTCCCCTTTCCAAATCACTTGTATAGTTATTTTTGTAGATCACCCACAACACATAAAACCGCCATTGACGTAAAAGTTGCAGTTGAATAAGCCATATTTTCTCATATGCAACAAATTAACAATCTTTGAGTCTCCCAGCCTTCGTAAACACATCAAATCCAGCTTTGACATGCATTCAATGACACTAAACCCAGAAAGGACAAACGTGAAAGTGAGACCCACATGTGAACAAGCAACATGACTCCCCAAATCACCTTCTACAAACATTTTCGAACGGCTATTTCTCCCAAAACGCGTGTAACCCAGCCGTGCGTGCACAGGCCTTCGCTCTGCAGAGGAGCACATAACGCGGGCTGCTGCTGCTGCTACTGCTCTGCGTGGGCACATTAGAAGCTTTTAAAATCGCGTCAGAGCAGTTTTGGGCTCGCAGATATCCCAGCAGAGCCAGAGCAGATGCCAACATGGATCTAATGTGCGCGCAGTGCCATGTCTGTGCGTAAAAAGTGCAGGGATGGCGTGCGTATGCAGAGAAATGTTCAATAAAGAGCTTTGACTTGCCTCCAATTTAGTTTCCATCACAAGTCTCTTAAATGTGTTATATTATTTCAGCACATTAGGTTAATTTTATGCTTCAGGCAGTACTGTTTGGCATATTTACACCTTCAAACGTCATTAAAATGTGATGGTTGCGGTGACTTTGATTTTGTACGGGGAAGGAGAGCAACTTTACGCACATGGCTCTAACTATGAATCTTAACCAAGACTTAAGCCATTATTAAAACAGCAGTGCATAGCATATTTTAAATAATAAAAATGATAATAGTATTATAGCATTTGTGGTGTAAGTATAGAACAATAAACTCCTCAAAAAATATAAAAAATTGAAAAGCTGTAATGTGTCAGACTAATAATATAAAAATTATATTTACTTTTATAAATATGTAATATAATGTTTAGATGTATTTAACAGCCTGAAAATATAGTTTATCCAATAGAAACTTAACTTATTCGTATACTAATAGCCTGTATTTAATCAACTGGCTGTAAATGAAACCAGTTGAACACACTTCTATCCCAACAAGCTTTTAAATAGTCTATGCTGCTCAACTTGATTAGTCTATATAATCGATCCAATTAATAATGAAATTATGAGCGTTGTGATTTTTTTGTTTCATATGTTTATGAATTATTCTTTATTTATTTTCCATTTCTATTCCGCAGCGCTTTCAATTGCCTAAGGTAAAGTAAAGTTATTAATATGTAATAAAATAAGTCATATATGTCTGTTATTCTATATTCTAAAGCCACTGATAGAGATAGAGTAAAATAGACTTACCGTGAGCCGTGATGGAGGCCATCACCTCAGCCATGTGTCCAGTCCCCCCGGGTCTGACTGGTCCTGACTGGTCCCGAGTGTCCAGTCCAGTCCGCATAACCAGGGCCCTGCGCGCACAAATAACGCATCACAAACTTTGGACATATCTGCAGCTTTTCTTTTCCTTTCTTCGCATTCCCCCTTTCCTGCGCCCCGCGAGTCCATTCTCTCCCTCACAGATAACTTCTGCTTGACCCCCGCGTGACACCGTGTGCATTTTGTTTCTGATTAATCTTTCCCATTGACAGTCTTTGTTAAACAACAAGGCGTGCCCTTTTTCCAAAGAGGCGACATTTTCATATCTGTTAGACGCGCTGACCTGGGCTTCACCCCGGACTTGGACTTCAGTGTGGAGAGTGGAGAGTGGAGAGTGTGGGGGAGCTCCTATCAGCCTAATGCCCGGCGAGTGACAGCAGGACGCGGCTAATGGACACGCAGAGAACACGGCTGCTCTCCTGCTCTCCTCACTCAGCAAAGGACAAGGCCGCTCTAAATATGAAGCACAAAAGAAGGCATTGCTCTAAAATGGTATAAAACCAGGAACAAAATGGAGCGTAAATCTGTATTACTTACTAACGCAGTTATTGGAGCTTCTTTCATGACTAGATGTGTGTATAAAACAGTCACATTAACAATAATATTCCCAAATGAACTGTAAACAGTGGGAGTAATTCCACCTGGTGCAGTGCGTCTCCATGCTTCATATACTTGCTTATTGGAAACAGAAATCGGGTTTCTTCAAGGAATCATAATCAATATTGCTTCAAATTAATTCAATTTATTTTTGTATAGCTCTATATCACTACAGTACTTATCTCAGAGGACTTTACAAAGCTGTCAATTCGCCAGATAAGAGAATCAAAAAGTTCAAACACAGCAAATGCAATGATGAAGAAACAAAACGCATATAGCTATTGGTCCATAGGGGCAGATGACCAATGTCCATAAATGTGGTTGAATGTGGAGTTTCCTGGATCATCACCACTGTCCTCATAGACCCCTTAACTCATCAGTTTTAAAAAGTATTTTTGCAGAGACTGAAAGACACGTTAAACTGGATTATTCCTTCGGTAGTCGCAGGTGCCCAGGGGTGGACTATAACAGAAGTAAGGCTGCCAATCTGTGCCATGGACCCTTTGACCACCAACACAAACCGATTCAGATTCAAAAGGCTCTAATGCACTTCGGATGATATGCTATAACCTCAACATGCTATGCCTAAAAAAGTATAAAAATATGATTGGATAACAGTAGTCCCATGTTGTTTGAGCCTTGTTTGTTACATCAGTCCTCAGCTGACTTCACATTTCGGACTTAAACAGACTATGGTCAAAAGTGCTTCAAATTAGCCTCATCTCGCTGTATACTAATGTCAGTGTCAAATGTAACTGTTGTGTTCATTTCAAATAAATAAATAAATAAGAAATGATTTCAGTAAATAGGTACATTACACACAATACATTGAAACAGCCACTGAAAACTGTCCCAACGTTATAGGCTAAACATTTCACTTTGACTTTGGTACCAGCCCTTACGGATATGATAACAGAAGATAAGAGAACCTTTCATTTCAATGTAGCAGTAGTAATAACAGGCGCTCACAAAATATACAATACAAGTATACTGTAGCTCCATTTCTTTAGCTGCAAATGCTTCATAAGAAGAGGAAGTGAATATCAATATATTTATGATAGATTTAGCAACATAACTATAGACAAGCCATTCCAAAAGATGTGCCCTGGTCATTCCCACAGTCCACTCGTCTCTCTCCCAGCAGCAGCAGCAGCAGCAGCAGTATGGTAGTAGTAAAGTTGCAGTAGTGTGTAAATACTAGTGTGTGGGTTTGTCTAAGAGAGAGAGACCACCGGAGAGGCCATACGTCACCATAATGTCAGCCCAGAGACGTCTTCACATGATATGTACATTTACAGTCGCTCCTGCTCCTGTTATCCACTTACACTGAAGCCACTTGTTGAACACGTTTGGGGAGAAGTGAAGAGCGGCTTAAGACCTTTCTCTTGGGCCTGACGCAAAACAACGTAAAGGAGACCATACATTGCATCCATAAGTGTTGTCCATTTCGTTCACTATAGCAAATTCAAGGTTTTTTGGCATTTGCAGTAAAACCACATTGGAATACATTTGCAAAAGTACCCATGTATATGCCATATTCTGCATGAGGGATTTTAAAAGACAGTTTTGTTGATTGGCTGTTAAGAACTTTGCAAGTTTTAGGTCCATCTGACTTTTGCTTTGTCTGAAATGTCCAACAGTAGGTTAATACACTTGGAGTAAATGACACCTATAGTTATAAATCATATCTGCAGAGAGGAGAGCTGAACCCATTTAAGAATAGGTTTTGGATCAGTAGAAGTTACAATAAACCTTTTTTCGTCCCACAGTCGGGAAATAATTAGCCGAGGGACAGTGGAACCCATGTAGAAAGATGGCACCATGCAGATTTAGTGTTGAAAAATTGGATACAAAAAATTAAAAAGGAGAAAATACAAAGGAATGGGCAGGGATAGGTGGTGGGTGAAACTGGTGCTTTCTGAGAAGTCT